TTACTATGAAACAAAATTATCTTCAGAGATAAATAATTAGTAATGGAAGAATAACATTGTTTAAGAGTTGATTTTAGGGAATTTCTTAATGACGATACGAACATAATTCTCTCATCCAGTCATTAAATAATGTTGTTGCTGTGGAGGATGTGTGTGTGTGTGTGTGGGGGGGGGGTGTGTGTACAAGACCTGGCGGCCCACTCGGCATGACAAAAGTGCTCTTAATATCAGTGACTTGAACACCAATCCCCGCCCCAACCACCCATTTGACCGCCCAACCACCCACCCTTAAGATATCTCTCAATAGGCAAAAACGACTTACTGACAACTGAAGGACAATCGCCAAATATATAAGCGACAGAATTCAATCGTTTATACCTCGCCCAAATCAATAAGTCATGGAATTCAATCACTTATACTTCTGGCATAAGGTGAACATAGTATCCAATCACATAATAGTCCAATCATAGTGTGAAGATTAGAATCCAATCCCCCATACTCCAATTACAGTGAACTTAATACATTCCAATCACCTACAAGCTCTTGCGTAGACGATCCAACACGACGAATCCTTAGAATCGCGTCTAATCACAGTGTGTCAATATATTCCAATCTTATCACCCTGAGCTTACAGTGAAATGTGATATGGAGGGATTTCACGCAACACTACCCAGGAGGAGGAGAGGGGGGAAGTTGGGGAGGAAGGAGTGGGGAGAAGGTGGGGAGGAGGGGAGGAAGGAGTGGGGAGAAGGTGGGGAGAAGGCGAGTATGAGTGGGTGGGGAGGTGAGGATGGAGAGGCGTCAGGGAGGAAGGAAGAGGTCTGGGGTGGGGAGGCGAGGAGGGAAGAAGAGGAAGGAGGAAGGAAGAGGTGTGGGGGGGATATGGGCAGGTATCGAGAGACAATCCCCAGGTGTTCATTACCACCAAAGAAACCCTACAGGTAATGGTGCTGGTACAACTACGGACATAACAGGTACTACGGACTAGGTAGGTACTCATCCCTCCTCATCACGGACCAGACACGTACCAATGACTAGGTAAGTACATACACACGGTACCAGTGACTATATACCACGGACTACCCATAACCCCCTCATCAAGGACGAAGTATACCAATTACTACACACCACGGACAGAGTACCCACTGACACGGACTGAGTACCTCTTACCACGGACTGAGTACCTCTTACCACGGACTGAGTACCTCTTACCACGGACTGAGTACCTCTTACCACGAACTGAGTACCTCTTACCACGGACTGAGTACCTCCCGCCACGGACTGAGTACCTCCCTCCACGGACTGAGTACCTCCCGCCACGGACTGAGTACCACCCCACAAGACACTGACCACCGCTTCGTTCTAGGTGAGTGAGTCCTCTCCTTCACGCTTCGCTAACTCCTCGTTATTACCACTTACGAGAAACAATATTTTCTTCAATAGCAAATTATAAGTTATCTTTTTTTTTGGGGGCGAAAGGGTTAAGCACCTTCTGTATGGCTACGCTCACTGTGTTGACGCTCATGGGTGTACATGAACCCAGTTGTGTACATGTGGTGTGGTGTGTGTACATGTGGTGTGGTCTGTGTACGTACTGATGTGTGTACGTATTGATACCCTCACACACAGAGCGAGATGGATGCTTGACTACAAACACCTTGATTAACTGAAGTACTTAGTCAAACCTTTACTTAAGTGGCCCACACACCATGGCCGCATCTATTCTTAGGTGGCCCACACACCACCCATGGCCACAACCATTAAGTGGCCCACACACCACCATGTACTTTACACAGGTGTGGTGTAACTGACAGGTGAAGTCCAGATACTATCACAAGCGGTTGGGGTGAGCTGCGATGAGTCATGGTGAAGGTTGTGTGTGGCACCAGGTCACCAATAACCCCCCTTCCCTCACCACCTGGCACCTGGGCACATCCACAGCTGGTGCCAGGTGATATACAGATGGTACCAACGGAGCCCCCGGTGGCTCCCTAATGAGGCGAAGCTCTCTAAACGAGCTTAATTATTGTGTCTTCACAGTTGGATCATCTTATAACTTGGCAGATGGGTATTAGTTTTATACCAGCTTTCACCTGGCCTTCTACACGTTCACAGCTGGTGCCAAGTGACCCCCCAGCTGGTATACGAGGCTGCCACTGTATGAGGTATACTGTCAATCCCCACAGCTGGTGACAGGCGACCAACAGCTGGTAAACAACGACACCATCACGGAGCCCAGAGCTGTGTCCTAGATTAGTCATCACTATCACCTCCCTCCCCTTGTCACCCTCCTTCCCTCCCTCACCCTCCCACCCTCCTTCCCCATATCACCCTCCGTCTCTCCCTCATATCACCACCTTCCTCCCTCACATCATCCCCCTCCTCCCTCACCCCAGCCCCCACCACCACCCCTATTAGACCACCAGAAGGATACTCTCACTATAATGACTACTACTACCACCAACAGACTACCAGAGGCTACTACCAGTGTAAAAAAAACCCAGACCACTAGCCTTTGACCTACCACTGTCTACTCCAACACCAGCACGACGACTACCACCATCGCACCTACCGTCATATCTACCACTAATGGCTGTCAATATCACCTGTACTACCGCCACTGCCAACATCACTACCATCACATGTACTGCCACCGATCGCTACCACGACCACCACTATGCTTCCACCATTAACTCTACCAGCAATTATCGTCAGTGGTATAATTATAATCTCATCTGTGACGATTATTTGCTACCTCTCCCTATTCTTTTTTGAGAGGGACCACCAACCCTCTCTCTGTCCACCTCCTACCCTCTCTGTCGATCACCTACCCTCTCTCTGTCCTCTCTGTCTACTTCCTCCCTCTCTGACTACCTCTTACCCCCTCTCCCCTCTCTGTACTACTCAGGTAAGGTGATGGAGGGGCGTCCTACACACACACACACACACACACACACACACACACACACACACACACACACACACACACACACACACGTTGTTGAAAAAAAAAGACAGGAAAACCAATCAGGAACTTTAAACTACAGAGAAGAACTGTCAATACAAGGTAATCAAACGAGTGTAAATACGTACAAGGATTACCTGATGATTAGACACCCCTGAAGCTACTTGGAGGGGTTAGGTTAGGTTAGGTTAGGTTAGGTTAGGTTTGGTTAGGTTAGGTTAGCACAGCATGTCGTCACCACTGGACCAAGACGGGGAGAGAAGCACGTGTGGCTGGCTGTATGACTCATGCTGGCGTGAATCATACACACTATAGAGAGAGCTGACTAAACAATACAACACTGACCACACTACAACACTATAACTCTCTGACCACATCCTGACCACACTATAACACACTGACCACACACTACAACACTCTGACCACACTACAACCCTACACTACAACACTCTGACCACACTACAACCCTACACTACAACACTCTGACCACACTACAACCCTACACTACAACACTCTGACCACACTATATTAAATTAAAAGAAACTTTAACTATGTAAGGACAGGTTCAAACAATAACACAGACGATTATTTGGATTATATAAAGATTATCACCCCAGCTTACTTCACCTGATGATTAAACACACCCTTTTTTTCCCTCTAATAGCTATATTTCTCGTTTTCTGTAACACCCGTTATCCCGTTTTCTGTAATATGTATCTCGTTTTCTGTTACACCCCCTATCCCGTTTTCTGTTACACCCCCTATCCCGTTTTCTGTAACATCTCTACCACGTTTTCTCTTATGCATTATAATATCACAACCTCATCCCTGACCTTACTTGTCTCTCTTTTTTGTAGCGACGAAAATATAAGCCAAACCGCAAACCGTGTCTCTTTATGTTAACCAATCCCCAGCCCACTGTTGACATCACGGAGAGCAAGCAACAAGGCGTGCTAATCCTTCCTTGTAGATCCGGGAGAGTGATTCATCCTCATATCTTTCTCTCTTCTCACACACACAGATAAAAAGATACATAAACCTATAAGACTTGGACCCACGAGAGAGAGAGAGAGAGAGAGAGAGAGAGAGAGAGAGAGAGAGACATCAACCTCAACTAACATGAACAACACGCTGCCAGACACGCTTCTACCTCATTCACCACCACCCCCTCCTCCCAGCCACACATAGATGGTGATAAATGACCGTGGGAGGGAAGACCACAAATAGGTAAACAGTGCCTACGTGACATAGAAAACGGTGAAACGGTTAGGAACGAGTAGAACATGAGAACTAGGTACTGATAGAGAACGAGACGTGTGGGGGGAGTGACAGAAAATGGGAGGTCGGTTGATATACAAAACAGAAGATGTGTCAATGTTTTTTTTTTAGAACAATGGCTGTGGGTAGATATACTTGACAGGTAGAGTGAACTGTAGGTGGAATAATGTAAAGAGGAAGGTTCATAATAACAATAATATTGATAATGATAATAATAATAATAATAATAATAACAATAACAATAATAATAATAATAATAATAATAATAATAATAATAATAATAAAAACAACAGACGCCCCGTGGGTCATTATAAAGTCAAAACAATTATGCAGCGTCGACAGTTGTGTAGCAGCAAGACATTGGGCCCAACACCTGGTACACCTTGCCTGGCCACCTCGCAGATGGTGCACAATATAGGGTAGGTGTGTGGCAGGACAACAAGGACATTTATCCAGTACCTGTTGCACCTGGCCACCTCACAGATGGTGGTGGTGAGGGTGATGCGGGTACCCTGATGCTCTGTACAAGTCCCTTCACTACCACAACTACCACCATCACCACGGGGTTCCTCCTGCCAGGGGATACTTGGCAATACACGGAGGAGGATGCTGCTGTTATATCCTCATCTCCCCGAATTGGTGTTTTTCAAGTACCGCATCACTTCACAAATTCCTCGTAGCTTACTGTACTAACATCTTCATCTCTTCTCCTCACTTAAAATTACACTTCGCATATTTCCAAGGTTTTGATAATCACCTCGGGTCACTAATATGATAGTATACACACATACACGGGGATAGATGCTGGGTATACACAAGGTTTGATTTTAAGTTTTCAGAGAGGGCGGCGGTGGAGGTCTCGGGCAGCCAGTGGGGCACAAGAGCACGAGTGGGCACCAGCACCAGCCAGCCTCACCGCACGCCCAACACTAAGTCACTGACTGAGATACACACACACACGCCTTGCCTCTCTACCCTCCACCACCACCACCACCACCCTCTCGTCCCTACCCCGCCCTGCCCACCACCACCCTCTTACCCCTAACATAACTTACTCTGCCCTGCCCTACCCACCGCCACCACCCCCGCCTTTAGTCGTCTCCTCGACGTCTCCCACTACCTAGGAGGACGATTTTGAAGAGGAAATGCTTAGAGTTATTCAGGTATTAGTTGTTAAGGTTGATGAGTCTGGCCTCCTCCATTGTCTCCCAGCCCCATTCACTCTGTCTCCCAGCACATAGTGTTGGTGATGCTGGAGAAGTCAGGTGCCTCTGCGTCTCCTAGTTCCTTGTCAAAATGTCTCCCAGCACGCAAATTTCTTCTTGAAAACGATCCTTCTTCACCTCCTGCGTTCTCCATCCTATTTCAAGTCTCCGTTTACCCTGGTCTCCTACCCTCACCTCTACACCCGTCTCTCAGAAGCCCTATTGGAGCTCTTACCGATGTGTGACCCCCTTCTCCCTACCTTTCTCCTCCTCCTCCAACCTGACCTCCCCCTCCACCTCCAGGATGCCTTTGAGACCTCAACATCACCCCCTGCATCCATATTTTTCCCCGCCCTTGTTGACTCGGGTCTTCTTCAGCCCCTTCTTCAGACCCCCCACGCCCTTATTCTCTCCCCCTTCCCTTGAGGCTACTATGTCATCTAGCAGTTCATTCTTACTTTGGTCTCCACTCTTCGCCCCTCCACCCGTCCTCCAGATGCTACATCATCAAAGCCCTTGGAGATGCGTTCCTCCTACCCTCCCCCATCCCTTTGAGACCCGCTCCTCGTCTTGTCAGTACTTGGAGACATGTTACTCTTCCCCCTCCTACTAGCCCATGGAAACCCCTCCTCTTCCTCCTCCCTACCCTTGAGAGTCGACCCCCCTGCCTGTGTACTCTAACCTGTCTGCAACTTTGTTTACCTTGGTGGTGTCTGAGTGAGCACAACCCTCGCCACCGTCCACCTGCTGCACCTTGTACTCCTCTTCGCCTTCACCCCATCCTCCCCTTTGCCCCAATCCTTACCTTCCACCCACACCATTCATTTAATTCTCCTCACCCTCCCCAGGAAGCGACTATAAGCGTATAAATACAACCTAACTGTACCGGGAGGAGGAGGGTGACGGAGGGGGTGACCAGTTTCCGCGATGGTTGCAAAAATAAATAAAGTAGACCTTCATTAGTTCCTCGTACGCTCACTGACGACGCCCAAGTCAAATTACTGAGGATCTGGATGACTTGACTTGTATCCGAACGAGAGAGAGAGAGAGAGAGAGAGAGAGAGAGAGAGAGAGAGAGAGAGAGAGAGAGAGAGAGAGAGAAATGGAAATTGATGATTGAATTGCAATTTAAAACAGAATGACATTACAATTGAAACAGTATGATATAACAATTACAACACTTCTATCTACTGTAACTGAAACAAAACGTGTTGCTGAAACAGTAATTAAAATCAGGTGATTGTAATTACAGCTAGAGTTTATAACAGTAATAAATTCTGTAATTATAATTCATATGATAGTGATACAAAAAAAGTTACAATAGATAATGAGATTACTCTATTATTCTTCATTGTCTGGTTCAACCCCTCCTCCAAAGACCTCCCCCCCCTCCCCTCCAAAGACCTCCCTCACACCCTCCAACAACATAGCCTCCTCCCCCTCCACCACCTGTCTCCATCTTAAAAACTCGACCTATTCAACATCACGTCCAGTCCTTATCAGTGTGAGCGTCCTCCTGCTGCTCTCACCCCTGTGTGTTGAACGTCCACACACACACACACACACACACACACACACACACACACACCAAACAAGACATTGAAGGAGGGGACTCGTCTTCAACACACACAAACATATTCATCTATTCACACACTCATCCGTAACCCATTTACCTTCAACCATTTCATTCTAAAACCAATTTGTATTCTGCCCATTCAGTTCCTCCAGCCCTATTTAGTTTCTGCCCTTTCATCCCGCGCCTATCTCCGCCTCTCTTCCTTTTCTTCTATGAGTCTATTCACCCACCATCCCTCTCTCTCTCTCTCTCTGTCTGTCTGTCTGTCTTGGGGTCGAGTATGGCCGTGTTGGGGGTGGGGGGGGAGAAGAGGGGAGAGGGGAGAGAAGAGGGAAGGGGGGAGAGAAGGAGGAGGAAGAGAGGGGGTGTCTTAGTCGTAGTAAATCCAGGTAAGAAACCTAACCTAACCTAATCTAACTTAATCTAACCTAACCTAACCTCATCGTCCCAAATAGTGTTAGGGTGGTTAATCTCTAGATGGTAATAAGCTGGGGGGTGGAGATTCTTCAGGTAATCCCAACATTTTACCTTCATTCTCACGTTCTTCAGTCAGCAGCAGTTCAGGGAGGAGTTTTTCATCGTACGAATGTTTGTGACTCAGGAGATAAGATTCCCAGATGTGTCGTGTAGATACAGATCATGTGTTCACGCTCAGGTTTCTAATTCCCTGTTTTTACCGTCACACACACACAAACACACACACACACACACACACACACACACACACACACACACACCTCAGAACCCTTAATAATCTCCTCTTCAATATAACTATTTTTCACAGGATGTACAAAATAACTAAAAAATATTAACTAGGTCCATTAAATCGTACTTGAAAAAACACCAACATCATCCCTCACTCATGGATAACAATACCAGAGAGGTGAGGACAGGCGCACACTGGTTCACTATACACTTAACAGTCACTTGTATAATGTTCATTTGTGTAGGTGAACAGACGCTCTATAACCTGCTGTCAGCGTCCGTGTTATTGTGGAGTGACTGACGCTGTGTTAGTATGGAGGAGCGACTGCAGACATTACTGTGTATTTGGCCTGGGGGGGGAAGGAGGGAAGGAGGGAAAGAAGGAGTGAAGCAGGGAAAGAGGGAAGGAGAGAAAGAAGGAGTGAAGCAGGGAAAGAGGGAAGGAGCGAAAGAAGGAGTGAAGCAGGGAAAGAGGGAAGGAGCGAAAGAGGGAAGGAGGGAGTGAAGCAGGGATACAAGGAAGGAGGGAAAGAGGAAGAGGAGTGAAATGGTGCACAGAGAGAGAGAGAGAGAGAGAGAGAGAGAGAGAGAGAGAGAGAGAGAGAGAGAGAGAGAGAGAGAGAGAGAGAGACGGTGTTCACGTCATAGTGTATGGCAGAGAGCCCACGGTACTGTACCACCACTATCTCTAGCTGCTGAGGGGGTGGCGACGGGCTGGCGGATGGTTGGGTGGGTGGGTGAATAGCTAGGAACGATGGGTGTGGTGGCGAGAGACGATGGGCGTATGGGGGGAGGCAGGGGCGTCACTCAGGAAGCCACTCATTCCTACCCTCATGTTTACCCGCCACCATAACCTGCCTGACGGAGTAATAACAAGTACACTCAACACCGCCTTGTGTATATTGGCTGTATCACCGAGCTACTGACGGAGACCACGTGGGGACGAGCAGGGGCATCACACACCCCTGGGGGCGCCACCACCTGGGGGGGAGCCAACGGGACCCCCAGCACTAGACCACGGGGAGAATGTGGCACCCTGTTTGTGATAATAATGATGATAATGATGATAATAATAAACAACTACAGTCATTCCTACAACACACTAACGTCGGGGTCATTTTCATTCTCTCTAATAACCGTTTCCTCCACCAGAACGTTCTCCTCTCCTCGCCCGGGAAAAATTCTACCACCCGGAAAACTTGTGTGGGATAAACACTTTTTTCCTGACTCGAGGTTGTCAAGATGGAAGGAAGCATCACGCACTGACTATACCATCACCACCACTACGTTGACCAACCACCATCAAACACATCGCTACCACTACTAACGCCACCAGTCACTACCACAATCAAGATCATTATTACTACCACCATCAAAAGTACAAACAAACATACAAACTACTACTACTACAATCAACCACTATTAGAGGCGACAGTATAGAGTGTAGTTCGTCAGACCGTGATAGTAGAAGCATCAATAGAATCTCTCTCTCTCTCACATTCCCTCCTTGACTTACCTCAACACACACGACCAATAAACACACATCAACGGCTATACCAGTTTACAAGAGAAACATTCCTCACGCTTCTTCCCCTGTGTGTGTGTGTGTCGTGTGTGTGTGTGTGTGTGTGTGTGTGTCGTGTGTGTGTGTGTCGTGTGTGTGTGTGTGTGTCGTGTGTGTGTGTGTGTGTGTGTGTGTGTGTGTGTGTGTCGTGTGTGTGTGTGTGTCGTGTGTGTGTGTGTGTGTGTCGTGTGTGTGTGTGTGTGTCGTGTGTGTGTGTGTTGAAGCCCTGTTATTATTCCTGAGTCAGCTCGAACACCTGTTGTTTGTCTGTTCCAATAACACACACACACACCTGGACTGTGAGTGTACAGGAAACGCCATCTATGGTCCGGGTCAAGTACCTGTAGTGAGGTTTATTGACTATACTTAATTAACTCGGTGCACCTGTTCTCTTCCCGGCCACTCACTGCCTCCCTGAATATCCCACGTTGTTAAATTAAGTCCTCTCGCTCGTGGCCACACCGAAATAGTTATGGCCACACCGAAATAGTCATGGCCACACCGAAATAGTCATGGCCACAACGATACACCCAGAGCAACACACCCACGCCTAGAGCAACACACCCACGCCTAGAGCAAAGCACGAAGAGTGCGGGGAGATATGATAGAAGTATTTAAGTGGGTGAAAGGAATCAATAAAGGGGATATAGATAAAGTTCTTATAATATCCGAGCAGGATAGGACTCGGAGCAACGGATTTTAGTTGGATAAGTTTAGGTTTAGGAGGGAGATAGGAAGGATCTGGTTCACAAATAGGGTGGTGGACGAGTGGAACAAGCTTAGCAACTTTGTAGTAAGTGCTGGAACGCTGGAAAGTTTCAAAAGGAGGCTGGATAGATTCATGGATGATAGAGAGTGGTAGTAACTCTCGACAGGAGCTGCCATGCA